CAAAACCCCTTGTTCCTTCCTATTATTGCTTATACTCTCTCTACAACAAAATTAGAGATAAGGGCAAAATAGTTTCTGCTGGGTATTGAGGGGGGGAGCGGGAGGGGGTGGAGTGGGTGGTAAGGGAGGGGGTGGGGGCAGGGGGGAGAAATAAACCAAGCCTTGTATGCACATATGAATAATAAAAGAAAAATGAAAAAAAAAAAAAGAATTAACACCTTTTATTTCCTAAATATATTTTTTCTAGGCTATGAAGATTAACCATGATAAAGTCATTCAACACTTAAAACTATCAGACTAGAAGAACTCTAAAATTGGACTAACACTTTCAATTATTATGTAAAAACCAAGCATGATTCTTTTTTTTTTTTGATAACCAAATAAATGTTTATTCTGTATTGTTAAGTAAAAAAGCAAATTAAAAAATAGAATTATCCCATTTTTGTTAAAAAAATAATAAAAGGCACATGTATGTCTGGAAAGATATAACTAATGTTTCTTCCTTTTTTTTTTGATCAAAACTCTTTTTTTTTTTTCATTTTTCTTTTATTATTCATATGTGCATACAAGGCTTGGTTTATTTCTCCCCCCTGCCCCACCCCCTCCCTTACCACCCACTCCACCCCTCCCGCTCCCCCTCAATACCCAGCAGAAACTATTTTGCCCTTATCTCTAATTTGTTCAAGCATGATTCTATAACACAAATATATAGAAGTCCTTACTCTATAGCCAAAGCCCTTTCATAAAATACTGTATTTTGCATCCATTTGGGGATGTTTTCTTTTTTTTTTTTCCCCTTTTCCATTCCATTCGTCAAAAATGTTTTTTCTCTCCTCTATAAAAGTGTAATAAATATCCAGTTTGCCTTTTAAAATATAGTTGTCAGCTTTCAAAAAATAAATATAGAGGAGGTTTACCTAGAAGGTCTTTAAGGACAGAGTCTGTTACGAATAAATTCTTGTATCCAAATGAACCATTACCTGAGGGAGGGGGACTGTGTAGAATCTTACATATGGTATTTTATTTTTTAAGTAAGCTAGAAGGGGTATTCAAAACATATACTTGAAATTGTGCTGCAGTGTTTTAACTTCTTGGAAGCAGTGGCTTCACAGTGTGTGCTACTAGCCGTACAAACATTATCAAATTAGCTGGTGGTGAAGAGAATAAACTATGAACTCCCTAACAATAAAAAAATTCCCACCCACTAATGGAATATTTTACTTCTAGAGAGCCCTGAGACAGGAGCACAAAGAAATGTGGGAAAGATGAAGGCTCCAAGTCATCATTTAAGGAGCAGGTAACAGGTTTAAATTCTAATATTACAATGAAGAATATTGTGTGTGGGAATTTGAAAATTTGTGTATGAGAGTGTGAAAAAAGGGAAGGAGAGAGAGACTGAGAGACACAGATACTAACTGAATTATTATTTGGTTTGCAGGATTATTCTATTCCTGTAGTGTTGTTGTCAGCAACATTTTCAAATGAAGTAGGGTATCTAAACTGAACAATCAGAAGAGACATGACTGACATATGGCCTTAGGGGCATACAAATCTAGAAGACTAATGTGGGCTGGCTAGACAGAATAGCAAGACTGATATAAAAACAAACCAAAACAAAATCCCAAAATAAGGCAATACAGGATAGGGAAGCTGGTCAGCTGTGCAAGTGTGGAGGAATCTCTCAGCCACTTCTCATACATGGAGCAGTCACGTATTGGTGAAATTATGGGATGCTACAATATTGCACCTAATGACAAAATTGTTTATGCAATGTGAGAATATCATCCAAACCAGAAATGCACATAACCAGTAATGGCAAAGGCTAGTGATCTGGGCAGTGATGGAATATTGCCCCTACTCATGCTACCAAAATCAAGCAGAGAACGTTATAGTATTCTAGTCTGAGGATAATTTGAGAATGGGAGGTACTGAGCATCCTAAACAGAGTATACTACTCATGTATTCATCAGTCTACCCTATGAATAAAAAAGGCATCATAGGTAGTTCCTTATTGTATTTGAAGGAAAATCCTCAGAAGAAGAAAATTCCAATGACCTTTGACTTCTAGGGCTAAAAACTACAGGAAAATGTGCTAAGGAATAATGAGCACATCACAGATTTATAGACGACCTACAAAGGTCCCTGGTTTCCAGCCTCCAGACTCTAATAAGATTCAAGAACTATAATACTTCTCAAGACAGTAGAAGCAACACACCTACTTCTAATAGTAAAATCTAGTAATATTAACACAGGGGTACTTAGGTATAATTAATTCACTTCCCCTCTTCAGCTGAAAATTAATATAGTTTAGTAGTTCTTAAAAATATATGGCCTTTGCAGGTGGCCAGACTTCAGCTTAAGTCACACATCCATCACCAATTAGCTGTACGACCAATGAAATTAACTTGGTTCTTGAAGCCTCGGCTTCTTCCACAGGAAAACATATCTAACTGTACAACAGTAGAATGCCTGCTGAATGCTAAGTGTTCAATATGTTAGCCATTGATATCATTATTTAATCCCATTAAATTTTGTTCTGGTTACTATAAATGACTACCTTTCATAAGCCTAACAATACCTCCCTTACCTACAAATTCTTTTTTATTATTTTATTTTATTGTAGGTACACTGTGACATTTACAAAGGTTCTTACAATGTATCGTAGTTGAATTCACCCCCTCCATCATTCTCCTTTATCCCCTCCCCCCATTCCCAGAACAGTTTCAATAGGTCTCATTTTTCCATTTACATACATGTGTACATAGTATTTCCACCATATTCAATTAATTCATCATTTACATCACAAAACCCAGACTGGCCTTGAATTCAAGATCCTCATGTGTCTGGCTCCTGAATGGTGGGATTATAGGTATATATCACAATACCAGGCTCATCATTTACTTTTATGCTCCCAATTATGATATACACTAATAAAAAGGTGTTCTCATGATGAAGCAATTTATTTAGAAAGGCATATTTTCATAAAAGTGTGTTTTGTAATCATGTTATTACATTATTTATAAAGTAAAATTTTTGTCAAGAGGAAATAGTCAAAATAAGATAATTGCCAGGCAGGGCAAAATTTAAATTACTAATTCAGTAGTGTGAATTATTTTTGAAACTACCACTTTCCTTTAAACTCAACTACATTCATTAGTTAAACCCATACCTTTATTCACAAGGTATATTTAATTCACTACAAGTAAGAACATATATTGGTAATACATATCATCTAAAAATGATTTTTCCAAAATTAGACACATTTCATAATGAATAGTTGATTTAAGAAAAACATTATACTTTCCATGACAATCTGTTTAAAGACCTCAGAGATGGTAGTATTAAAGAAAACAGCATATTGTAACAGAAGTCTGAACAATAAAGTCCTGCAGTTTTAACTTTATGTATTACTTACCTGATTGGGTTTTTATTCAATTTATTTTCTATACAGTATTTGCTTTCCCCCTCCATGGATATTTTAAAGAGCTCAGATGGGTAAATATCATATGATATCACAATGATAACATCTATTGCCAGCTAGATGACTGAAGGAGGAGAAAACCTAAAAAGGAAGACATCACCAAGCCAAGTTTGGAAAGAGGGAAAGTAGCATACTACCCAAAGACTCTGACTCTGGCTTTCAGTGAACTTCAGTGATTTATAGAGCCATTCAGATGTTATATTTCATGTTGAGTGGGATTTAGTAAGTTATGGTTTTCTAAGGAATTATTCACTTTGTCAAACTTTTAAAATGTATTAACATGAAGTCATTCAGAGTATTTCCCATTTTTTTTGATCTGTGCTATATCTGTAGTCATGCTCTTTTTTAATTACAAAAGTTATTTGTGCCTTTTTCAAAAAATCAATTGCTCCTGAGGTTTATCTGCCTTATTATTTCAAAATAACTACACTGCTTTTTGTTCATCTCCATTATATATTTGCTTTCAGTTTCAGCACTTTCCACTCTTTCTCCTTATTGTTTCCTCTTAGCTCCAACTACAAGGCTGTTTCTTGGAGCACAAGCTTTGTAGGGGCCTTCACATTCCAAACCAAAAAAATACACTAAAAATAAATATATTAAAGATAATGTCGATTTAATCCCATTGTGATATATAATAAATTATGATTCAGGTCTGTTTTTTAGTATGCATGATGATTTCTTCTTTGATTCATGAGTTATTTACAATTACACTTTCACATTTCCTAATCCATAAAGTTTTTGAGGAATCTGATTATTTCTCTCCTGCACATACTACAAAATGAGTTCCTCCTAGGATGAGGATCAACTTGTGAGGGCTGCTTCCAGCCTGCTGCACACATGGCAGAGCAGCTACTTCATGAGGCAAAGAGCTATAGCTACCAACAATGCAAAGGACAGGGTACAAGAAAGGGTCCAAGGGTGACAGGTGAGGCAATGATTGTCTCTATGGTGCTCTCCTCAGGTGATATTTTTATTCATTTCCAGCATATCCATCCACTGATTTGTTCTTTTACCTCTCAACGACAGATAGTATGTAATAACACTACCGTGCACTTTACCTTTTTTTCACTTATTATGTTTTGGAGACGACTCTATAAGAGCATACAGGAAGCTTTCTATTAGATAGGAATAAGAGGGTCTGGTGTGCTATTATTGCACAGGAAGCTAACTATGGGTGACAATTATGTAGCGTATATTCCAAAAGGCTAAAAAAGTGATCCTGAATACTTTTACCATAAAAATTTTTAAATATTTGAGGAGATACAGTTAAACCTGAATTAAACATGATTTGAAACATCAGAACTCCATTAATATGTATTTTATGTTTTTACAGCATTTAAATAAAGAAAAAAAATACATGATAGATATGTTTTGTAATTACATTCAGAGATTTCAATATTCCCCTCTCCATTAAAAAGAAAGGAGAAGGAGACACAGAGAAAGAGAGAGAGGAGGGAGGGAGGGAGGGACAGAGGGAGGGAGGGAGGGAGGAAGGAACGAAGGGAGGAAGGAACGAAGGAAGGAAGGAAGGGAATTTGTTAAAGTGTTACCAGCTCTATAATGTCACCTTCAGTTTGTTAATGTCAGTCAGTTTCTCCATCTTTCATACTCTAGTTGCCCTTGCACTGCTACATCTAACTCTATCTCAACAGTCTTTAAAGGCACTGGTTATATCCATCTTCTCAATTCTAGCACAAGCAGATACTATGAAGAAAACTACAACAGTGTTCTACTATACAAAGCACTGGAAGTTAGAGAACTAAAACTTTAAATTTAAAAAAAAAAACTTACCAAAGATCAACTCTCATCTCAGGTCAAAAGAAAGTCACCCACAGCAACATACATGCACAGAATAAAATCACAAGACAAATGAGCAAAGACCATAGGGTCTAAAATAAGGCCACTTTTCTATGGGCCAGGTGTCCTCATAGTGCAAGTACACTCCACTGTTCTCCTGTCTTTAAAGAAATATCCACTGCAATCTCCAAACAATTCCATAGTTGGAAAAATTCTTGAAGATGTCAATAGAGAAGCAATATCCTGACAACAGATATGTTAAAAAACAAGCAGACAGTGCATCCTGAACTCTGATTACCTGTAATGCTCACTTCTGGGAACGTTCTGACAGAAATATAAAGCTGCTGTCCGCGCTCTCCAATGCCATTTCTTTGCTGGAAGGGTATAAAGGACACAGTCTTCTAACTCTTCTTGGAGCAAATCCACCAGCTGTTTATGGGAGCCTCCATAGAATGCCTCAATGATGAGAACACTCATTGGCCCACTCAGACCTTCAGATTCAACCAAAAAATTTATATATATTTTTAAATACACACATGTATATACACACACCATTTTTTTCCTTTTAGTTATTATTTTTTGCAGATAGGGACTGATACATTTTGTCCAGGGCTGGTCTAAGACTATGATCCTCCTACCTATGCCTCCCATGTAGAGGGATTACAGGGATGCACCGCCACACCCGGCATGTTGGTAGAGATGTTGTCTCCCTAACTTTGTGCCCTGGCTGGCCTAGAACTACAATCCTTCCAATCTCTGCCAGACATAGGAGGATCATGAGTTGCCTGGGCTACAAGACCCTATCTCAAAAAAAAAATAATGAAAATTCAGTAATGTATAAATTTTTTAATAGACTTACCCTCCTTTCTAAAAATCCTCAATGACTTTAGGCTGAAAATTCTGTAGTCAATATTTTTATAACATTTATGTTAATAAGAAGAATGTATCTTTTTTTTAAGGAAGCTCACTTTGGTTTTTTTGTTTTTTACTTTCATTTTTTATTACTGTTGTACTGGGGGTACATTATGACATTTACAAAAGTTCTTACCATATATCTTAGTTGAATTCACCCCCTCCTTCATTCTCCTACCACTCCTGGAACAGTTTCAACAGATCTCATTTTTCCATTTTCACACATGTGTACATAATATTTCCACCACATTCATCCTGCTACACCCTTTCCTTACATCCTCCCCATTCCCCCTGTACCAACCCCCCAGACAGGACCTGTTTTGCCTTCTTGTTCTCCATTTTTGTAAAAAAAAAAATGACATTTTTGCTTGTTTAAGATAGCTATACAGGGTGTTTCACTGTGACATTTATACACACACATACACACACACACACACATATGAATTATAACACAAACTGGTTCATCCCCTCTATTTTTCTCCTTTTACCTTAGTCCCCTTCTTATGGTGGTTTCAACAGTTTTAAAAATTCTACATTCATTCTTGTATAGGAAGTACATCAGCCATATTCACTTTCTTAACTTTCTATTGACACCTTGCCTCTCTCATATGTGACCTTCCCTTAGTATGACCTGTTTTTCACAATATTGCTTGTGTTTGTAATGATGTCTTTATTTTTCAATTTCTGTTTTCCTCGTGCCCTAAGATTACTCCCACTATGACCCTTAGTTTGGTCTCCTATCCCAAAAAGCTTAAACCCTTTCCTGCTGTGATCTCTCCTAGCATTGAGGTATTTCAGAATTGAGTCTAACTGAGTGACTCTTAGACATTGCTTGACTCACACCTCTCTAGACTTTCATCTCTTAAGACTTAAGATTTCTTTCGAAAGACAGTGTCTTACTGTGTAGCCCAGGCTGGTCTAAAACTGATGATCCTCCTGCCACAGCCTCATTTGAAAAGCCCTTTCCAGTTTGGAAATTTTTTGATTCCATAACTTTCATATTAATGCATCTTTAAACCAACTGCCACTAATGAATCCATACTTACTAGAAAGAGCATTCATATTCAAACATCAATTTTCTAGGATTAAAAACTTTAGGATTCAATTTCTTGATACACTATGAATATCTTGACCACTTCCCCACTATTGTACTATTCTACTCCTAAAGGAACACTAAAAAAAGTGAGTAAAGCTGTATCTGCAAACAAGCAAGGTTTCTACAGCCTTCTTTGAAAAAAAAAAAAAAAGAAAGAAAGAAAGAAAAGAAAAACCATTAAGAGGGATAAAGTAACAATAATGGGGTACCTAGAGACTTGGTAAAATTTTGTCACAAAGTATATGCTATCTAGTAATTTTTCATTTTAATGAGTAAGATTTTTTGTTCATGTGCTCAGTGAAATAAAAAAATATATATATAAAACTTTCAGATACTTTTCAAATTATATGCTATTTCCTGTAAGACATAAGGGAGAAACATCATTGTGTACATGTATATGAATGCTATACTGCTGAAAAAATATTCCAGATGTTTGAATTTTCTTTTATGACTGTAGTATTTATTTCATTAAACAGTATACTACTTTTTAAAATAATGTTGTTTCCATAAAATTACTAGCCTCAATGATTCAGCAACACTCTTCACTAATAAAACTATACTTCACCTTGTTCAAAGTAATGCTATTTAAATCGTGTTTCAAAGCAGAAACAGTTCTCAAAGAAATGTATAAAATAAACAAAAGCTTCTTTCTTCATGTCTGAAACTTCCAATAAGCATTTTGTAGTGGTGGTGGTGGTGTGTGTGTATGTTTCATTTATATGTAAAATGAAAAATTAACAGCAGTCTTCATCAGGAAGATATAAGCTTGTGAACCTCAGCTCTGTCACTTTCCAGCTGTATGACCTTAGACAAGTAACCTAACTTTGTAGGACTCAGTCTCATCTTCTTTAAAATGGTGACAACAAAATTAACCTCAGCGGTATGCTATAAAGATAAAAGAAGATAATGCAAGTCACTTGCAAACAGAAATAAAACATTAGCCTCTTCTGATATTAGCACAAATCATTGTATCTAAGGAAAAAGGCTACCTCTGAACCATCCAACATTGTGAGTTCAGTAATTTTCAACCATGGCCCCCTGCCCGGGATAATTAAGAAAGGTGGATGTGCACATGCATTTGAAATGCAATAGGAAATTATGTATCTATCATCAGCCACTTGCATTTCAAATACAAATTTGAGAGCCCCACAAGTTTTGTGGTTAAGAGGTACATTCAGAAGCAGAGCTATGCAGCTCTCAATTTTTTCAGGACTGCTTTAATAAAACAGTTTTCAATGAATTCTCAAACACCCTCCAAATTCAATAAAGTGGTAGTCATTAATCCTTCAAATGATGGAACCTTCGAGAAAGTAATTGAGAGACCAAAAAAAGGTAATTTTAAAAATTATATCAAAGGTTTCAAGAAAGACAGATTAAAAGCAATTTAACATTAATTTGCTTACTATACCACATTCCAAATATCTACTATCTTCCATTATTTCCTCTGACTTAAACACAATACTGTGTATATGCCCTGTATATCCTTAAAAGGTCTCTAAAGGGCTCTTGTAAAAAACAACCTGAGATATTCCCCCAAGTGATATAATGTGATATAAACCTCACTAAAGAATATTTTACTCACACAACCTCAAAGAAGTCAATTAGGAAAAAAAAAGCTTTCTGATTCTTCGTCACTCTGCCCTTCTCTATGATTAATCTAAAGTATGTATCATGCCACATATTTATTTTACAGATGTTTCTTAAGGGTCTGAATCACAAGTTATCTGCAAACCATCAGCCATTGTGAAGGCAATACATGTAGGTGCTGCTACAGTATAGATTCAAGACACTCAGTAAGCAGAACTGAACCCCAAGCATGTGGGAGGTCGAAAATAGAACAGGGAAAAAAAGATTATAGCTATAGTAGATTTCCACCCCTTTAATAGCTCAGTAAGGAGAGTGAAATGTACAGGTTTGAACTAGCATTTACTTGAGCATTTTTCTAGTGGCCAGTGGGTGTGCCTGTGTTTGGGGTATTTTTCTAGGGAGAGTAACTATGTCCTACCATCTCTGAAAACTGTACTTAGTGGCTTTGATTCATGGAAATTTGTTCTGCTTGTTTTGTGAAGACAAGACATATCCTGGCAGTTCCTCTACTTACTTCTATTGCAACTTTTGTGGCAAAGGAAAATTTGTTCTTCCCAGTAGTTTTCTTGAAGCACAACCTGGAATAAAGATGATTCCCATTAGATATAAGCAAAAGGGGGAAAGCTGATTTTAAATATAAGATTCAAGCCAAACGTCATATGGCACATTAAAGAATGGTTCAAATACTTTCACTGTGCTTGAGTTTTGTTTCAGAAACCCTGCTTGAAACAAATAGACATGAAGTTGAAAAACAACTCTTTGCTATCACAGTTCAATCTGTAAAATGAAAAGGCAGTGCAATATCTGCCCATTTTAAAAACACAGAAAACTGCAGGTGATCATCCTGATACTATAGAGGCTCCAAAGGATGAATGCGAGTACTTTTGGATCACTAGCAATGTCTAGTAAGGGGACAGTGCTTGAAAGGACCAGTAACAGGGCCTCCACATTAAAAGTGCTAACTCCAAAGTGAGAATAGGAACTTCTTGACGGCAGGAGCCTATGGCCAGGCATCTGCCAAAAGACAAGTTGTAAGTCTAACAGAGCCAGATGTCTTCCATCGTGCCAGAGTTTACGAAGCTGTTAAAGCTTTGTCACTAGTGCTACCACAGACTGTAAACTCCGAAACACTTAAACAGAGTAAGTTAGTCAGAATCAGGTGTGACATTTTAGAGAAACAAATGAAAATATCTTATGTTGGAACACAAATACCAGGCAGAAACCCCACAGATTTTCTACATGACACACAAAATACTATTATCATACTATGAAAAGATTACGTGAGAACTCTACTGTTGCAAACTAAAAAAGCATATAAAATACTTCAGATAAATTTTTAGCAACTTCTAAGTTTTTCTACTTAAACCAGTAAGCTTCAGCTAAAGAAAATTCATTGCTTCAGCATATTTTATTCCCCACTGAAAGCAGATGAATGGAAAATCTACTATACGATTAAAGCATTATGAAAGTTTAATTCCTTATCAATACTATGATTTAATGATACACAGTTAAATGCTAACATTAAATTTTACAATATAAAATGAGTCAAAATGATACTATGACACAGAAATGTTACACCATTTCAAAAGCTGTTTCAGAGGCTATTTCAAAAGATCACCAAAGGACTACCAGACCTATTTAATAATTGTCTGCCTTATGAAAATTTTGTATTTATAATTGAAAGGGGAAACAAAGTAAAAAAATCACAAAGTATTTCATATAAACATTTTGACAGAAATGAAAAAGTGCCATTAGCATCATTTCAATTAAAATTAATAATGCATTGATAACAGAGAACAAAAGTAGCCTGAAACCAATGCTGTGAATATTTTTGAAATTTTATTAAAACTTTTTATCATTGTACCTGCATTTATTTTTGGCTTGACCCAATTTCTTTATTCCCTGAGCCATGATGATTTTCAAGGTGAACTACATTTTTATCTACCTCCTCTAGCAGTTCTGTGGCAGTTGAAAAAACATTTTAACACTACAGATACAGGAAATTTGCAATGTGTCATTGATATATTGTAAAAGATGTGCTAAGTATAAATGCATCATGCTAGTTTTAAAAAATAAACCTAAGTTACATTTAGAACTCATTAGTTCTCATATATGTCAACTCAGTTACCTACAACATTCAAATAATTTTCCAACCAAATACCCAGTAATAATTTTAAATCAGAGGAATTGCTGTATTAATATATTCCATAGACACCTCACTGCTATTAGTTGTAGGAAGGTATAGTTTCAGTGATGATGGTTTTAACAGTTTTAATCCCACACATAAGAAACTGATTCCATAGGCAAATCTACACATCCCTTGAACCATTAAAATTTGAATCAGTTGCTAAAAATATCTTTTCAACCTATCTATTAAAATATTTGGAAACTTGAGCTTGGCATGGTAAATACTTAAACACTGTATGGTTTAAGTTGGGGAAAATAAACCTTGAGTAGGTTTTCCCAATAGGTCATCCAAGGTTTACCTGGTATTTTCTCACTGACCCTTTCTCTTTCCTTCTGCAACTCTACCTACTGATACCAACACAAAATTCTATTTAAAAAGCTGCCAATGACCCAGCAGAGTAAAATGAGGCATCTACATTTACAGAGTAAAATGGGGCAGTGCTGAGAAAAGTTAGTGTTACCTTCCAGCCCACTCACTTATTTTAATGATTCATCAGGGAAACCCCAGTTGCTAAAATATACCTAAAATCTCATTAAATAAGCATGAAAAGATTTCTGCTTTGAAACGTCACCAATGATTCCCCTAACAAAACCTAGTGAGTAATAATACATTTTGCTAAAAGAAATTTTTTTCTCAAAATAATGTAATACATTCAATCATCATATGAGGGAAAAAAAGGCAAAGATTAATAGATTCTACTAAAAAGTTGTTTTTTATAAACCCTTCTATAAAAATAAAGGGCAAATTCATCCTAACACCTAACACCTGAATATAATCTGAAGACTGAAATATAATCTAGCATCAACTGTACAACGGTAATCTTGCACTCTTAAAACAATACTGACAATATTCTATATAAAATTAAAGTTTTGATAACAGTAAGAAACGAATCCATTTCCTAAACACTGTTTGAATTATACATAATATAATGAAAACTGACCATTATTCCATTATCTGATTATGATACCTGCAAACTAATGTTTATAAATTACATGCTGTCCTACCAATGCACTTAAATAGAAACAAAGTCTTAGGAACAAATTTAACAAGATAGAGCAATCTAATATTTTATACCCCCACAATGCTAAGGATGCTCTTATTTCTTCAATTCTGGCTTGTTTTGTGTTGCTGTTGTGATAACAAAGAAGTAAGACTGTATAAATCAAAATCAACTCCAGTAGGAAGACTTATATGCCATACTGTTGGTGAAATAATTTAAAGCTATTTTAATATACTTTTCCAATTATAAGTTACAATGATCTCAAGTACATTTTTACTACAATTTTATTTGCATATATGTTTAATTATCCCAAATATGTTTATTCTTGATATAGGATTTAACTTTTCTACTTGAAAATAGCACTTTTCAGGAGGTCCTAAAGCTATATTCCACAACATATAGCAAATTAGGAGATTTTTTTGTGATAAGTTTAGTGGTTTTATTTCATGGACAAAATACCAGCCCTCTTTCAACTTTTCACTGCTATTAACTTCATGAATAATTTTAAACTATAAAAGTAGCAGTGAATTAATTCTACTGAATACTAAAAATATTTTCAATTTGCTGTCATTTCTAGATAGGGTAGAATACTTATGAATCAACAGAAAGTTTTCCAAATAAAAATCATCTCGTCACTCATTAAAACTACTGTGTTACCCTCCTAACTATCACACAGTTCTGCTCTCACCATATCATTCTCTGTAGCCAATCACAAATAATCTTTCCAAAATGGAAATCTGATTATGAAGTGACATATTCAAAAATCTTCAATGTCTCCATCACCTATGGATAAAATCCAAAGCCCTGTCTATGACAGTTAAGACTCATTTTCAAGCCCTTCTTTTCTCTTCACTACAACTGCACTTCCCTTCTCCCACTTCAGTCCCTCTGCCCCAATTACCCCAGACTATGTGGAGCAAATTTAAGTACCCACACTCACATATGTGCTTTACTCTCCTATGACTTCACACCATTACCTCTCTTCTGCCAGCCTTCTCTTTGTGCGTACCTGATGAAATTTTGTTAAAATTTCTACTCATGAATCACTATTGCTATGAAACCCTTCTCTGAACTTCTCTTCAGCACAACTTCCTTCCTAATCTGAACAGTATCATTCTACTTAATTTCACTCTATGTCCACATCCTGTTTCTTGATGGGGCTATGAAAATCCAAATGATGAGGACCATATCAGTATTTTCTTAAAAGCTATCAAAATGATCTCACACATAATATGTATCACTAGGTTTTGTGGAGCTAAACTGAAAATCATGTGAACACAGGAAATTGATTTCTTCTAACTTTAAAGTAAGATTGCTTTCATTTGACACAAATTCTAAGCATAAAAGTGTTAGGCAGCCTTGCACTTGCTATTAATGATTTCTCATTATTTCTGAAGTCTAAGCTTTATCAAGCAACAACATGTATATCTGCATACATTTTATTGTGCTTTCTTTTTAAGTAGTGGTTTTTTTGGGGGTCGGGGGAGAGCACTGGGGATTGAATTCAAACCTTTGTGTTTGCAAAGCATGTAGGCACTCTTCCACTGCCTCCCTCCAGGTCTTTTTGCTCTCATTATTTTGGACACAGGGTCTCACTTTTTGCTCAGGCCAGCCTGTATGGGAATCCTCGTATTTTATACCTACAATGACACGTGCACAACACAACACCAGGCTTTTTTCCATTGAGATGGGGGTCTCGCACACTTTTTGCACAAATTGTCAAAAAACAACCTGAGATCCTGCATATCTTTGACTCCCAAGTAGGTAAGATTACAGTGTGAGCCACTGGCCCCCAGTTAAATTCTGATTATTTTTTCTTATTTTCACAGAAATTACAGGAAATAATAAGATTTTTTTTCATGTAGATACATGTGTCTTTGGTTTAACTTATAGATACAGTACAAGTTAGCAATGATTGAAGAAATGGGACAAACAGCATAAGCAATTGAATTCTGGGTCAATGGCCTAAGAGTACATCTATGTGATCCATGAATTTTGAAAATCACCTGCAATTTTTTACTCTGTTTGATATATTATCATCTTAGTTTAATTCTAGAAGTGGAAGTAGGGTAAGAAGCCAATTCTCTCACCATCAATCTGGAGAGCCCACTCCACATTTAGTAATTAGGCTTTCACTTAACTGGGAAGAAAAAAAAAGTACTTTTAAATACTTTATACCAACAACTATTCATTTTATAACTGTTTGACAAGATGAATAATACATTTGCTTTCTCAAGATGGCATTTCTCCAAAGTCTTCCACCTTCTTAAAATAAGTTGTAAAGCAGCTCAAGTGAGAGAAAATTGGATTATCTGACCCATTTGGATATAGATAACCAAATTGAGAGAAATTAAGGTAAGTCAAAGAATCACAGCTGCAAAAAAAAAAAA